AAACATATCTACGCGTAGATCATGATGTTCTGTTAGAATCGCTGAAAACTGTTTTCCAAAATTCGCAGCGGGTAGTGTACAGCATCGATTTCTGTGGAACCCAGTAGCTGTCAAAACTTTCACATTTTTACGAATAACTCGGAAATCGTAAATTTTTCAGGTAAAACGCTTGACACAAACTTAACTTAAATTTTGACGACAAATCTGAAAATGAATGAAAAAAGGGGCGGTTCCATTTAAAAAACCAAAGTTGGTAACTACCACACGTTTATGATACACCCCGTATATTGGAAAGTAATTTTAAAATGTGGACCTTTTAAACATGAAAAACTTTCGTAGGACGTATTTTCTTGTAAAGTTCATATTTACTGAGATATCGCACTTTGACGCACTAATGAGCAACCCTGTATATACATTCTTAAGAGAAAACTTGTACTTAACACATCCATAGTTTCATATTTATTTTATTTTCAGTACCGCTTGGCTTGACCGGGCAAAATGAAGGTCTTGAAATTTGCTGCTTTTGCACTACTATTTGTGCTGATAAGCGATGTATCGGCAGACGGCAAAACTGTAAGCATCGCATTTTTGAAAATTCAAAACTGGCTCTTTTAAGAGAATATATCACTTAGCTTGATTTATTATTTTATTTCAGAGAAAACATAAGAAATATAGAAGACCACGTCCGCAACCAACCGAAAGTTCAGCAGAAGTAGCTCAAAATGAACCGAAGCTATCCGAATCTCTGCCTCCTATGGCTGCAGGACTTGATATGATAGATAATCGGGTACCGGTTACCGGTGAGTTTAAACAAAAAAAAACAAAAAAAACAAAACATTTGCTTTCAATATTTCCATAGTCTAGAATATATACAAGGTGTTTCATGAGGAAGGGCATTATTTTAACCACGCATTCTACGTCCGAGAATAACCCTAGTTTGAGTTATACGATAGCCTAAAGATGCTTCGTTACGGACATACAGGGTGTTGAAATTTAATTAAAAAAATTCGAAATGAAAAACTTCTTAAAACGCATGGCGATATTTTAACGAAATTTTCTAGAGATCAATAGCTAGGAGGCATAAAAGGAGGCAATAAAATATTTTTGTTAATTTTTGTCAGTAGCGTGAGTACCTGCATGCTACCGAATTTATTAAAAGAAAAAATGGAACGCTACTGTATTTTTTAATTATTACAAATACTTTCAAATTCATTGTTTTATTACAAATAAAAAATATATTGCATTTTTTTGCTACAAGCCATTAGGATTCTAAATGTTTTAAAAGGCAGGCTCTTTTACTATCAATAAAAATACAAAATTAAGTGTTCTAAAATTAAACCTTTGCTCTCCACAGACTTATCGACGTAGGCCTGGGCAACTCAGTGAGTTGGCGCAGTGCTGCGCTAATGGCTTGGTGTGCCAACTCAACGCAGTAACTCAATTCTTTGCTGGGAAAATGTTGATGACTTTTTTTAGATTTATTTCAAAAGCCATTCATTGACAGTATTTTTAAAATGTCTTCAAATTTCAGAATTTTCCAGTTTTAGCCAAGTTACTCTTTCATCTAAATGCTCAATTTTCTAAAGTTTCACTTAAAAATGCTGACAATATTAAGATATTTTTCACAAAAAATTATGAAATAAATTTCGAATCCTTAGTCGCTTTGGCGATCTGGAGGACTTTATTTTTTATGGCTTTGAAAACATTTTCAAAAACTTTTTTCAGTGTCGACATTTTTAATCGAAAACGCAAAACAGCATTATTTTCTGATGATTCTCTTCTTTTTTGACAATAATGGGGTGTTTTCAGCCAAAAATGACAAAATTAACTTTACTAGAAAATTCGCCTCATTCATCGGTTTGCAGGGAACTTCGACTGCGGAAAGTAATTAGGATTATCTTGAAAAAACGACCAGAGAGCAAAAGTTTACAAACAATTATGCCGCCCTCATTGCTCTGAGGATTTCTAAAGTTCTTTTAAACTTTCAGGTTATTCCAGTTTTAGCAAAGTTTTTATTATTAAGCAATTCTTTCTTCGCAAAAATCGTATAAACATGTATAACCGCTACCTATTTGTTTCTTTCAATACATAATTCCTTCTCCGTTCAAGCACTTTCATTCCATGTATTTGAAACACATTTTTTTATTTTATTTTATAGACCCCTGCCTGGATGTGCAATGCGGTGCTGGTATGGTTTGCGAGCTAGACAAAGAAGGCGAAGCACAATGCGTTTGCATCGCGTCTTGCCCTGAAGAAACCGAATCCAGACGCAAAGTAACTTTTCTTATATTGAACAGTTTTCGACAATTTAACTGAACATTTTTTATTCTAGGTTTGTTCCAACTTGAATGAAACTTGGCCATCGGATTGTGCTGTTTACCAACAAAGATGTTTGTGTCGTAACAATGATCCTAAATGCAAGGGAGACAAATACAAGCACATTCATATCGAGTACTACGGTACATGTAGAGAAATGCCAGTAAGTAGGAACCTTAAGTAAAAGTTTTGTTAAACAGGGTGACCTGTGACAAATTTGCTATAATGCTGAATCTAGCATAATAGAATTGAACGAATTGTGCTTTAATTAAATACTTAGTTCAAGAATGTTGCTTGAAGTTGCAAGACAAAGGTCTATTGCAAATTCAGGCGTAATCTATAATTTGAAAACTTTAAGAAAACTTTTTCCAAAATTTGTTGTTGGGAGCCTTGAGTAATGAAAAGTTTGAACAAAACTTTTGACCTTTCACGTACTCTGTATGTTTATTTATTAATACTGCTGCATATATAGTATTTGGTTTTAATCTAGGAATGTAAAACCAGTGAAATGGCTGATTTTCCAAGACGTATGCGCGATTGGCTCTTCAACGTGATGCGTGATTTGGCTGATAGACGCGAGCTCTCTCCCCACTACTTGGAAATGGAAAAAGATGCCGAATCCAACATGACCAGAAGATGGACCAACGCTGCTATTTGGAAGTTCTGTGACTTAGATGGACATCCACCCGACAGGTGAGATTAAACAAGTTTTAATTACTTAGAAATGTAAATAAAAAGAAAATTATTGACACTGCATACGTGACTATACTAACAGACGAAAGTTTGTACTACTTCCTAAATAAAATGTCCAATACTATTAATTCAAATATAAATGTATGATGGACGTCTTCTGCATACTTAATGAACAATTACTACTCATGTGAGATTTTCAGTCACCCAAGTGCATAATTTTTGGTGGAAAAGGTTCAATTAATTCTTAAAGTCCAATCAGTTGAACGCATTACAATAACAATGTTACTATTACAGTTCGTTAATTGGTGATTATTTAATTTTAAGAAGACCGTAATATATCCAACTTTTTGCACAAAGCGTGTACACTAACTCCTATTATCTAATCATTATGACATAATCTTATACGTTAACTATTAATCGCCTGGTCGCCTAACTCCTGATGTCTTTGCTTATTGGCTCATGTCCTAATCATATTATTAAGAACCCGACATAGTTTTTTTTAATATTCAGATTATTTGCAAACAATTGATATTTACCTTCAAATTTTTAACTAGATATGTGATTCCCTGAGAAAATTCCAACATTTTTTAAAATTGTGTTTCAGATTTGTGTCTCGTCATGAACTTTTCCCAATTCGTGCCCCCTTAATGGCTTTGGAACACTGTATTTCTCCATTCCTTAACTCCTGCGATACTGATGATGACCACAAGATTACCATCAAAGAATGGGCCAAGTGTTTGGAACTGGACGAGGTAAATTTATAATATACTGCTATGCTTCAAATTGTCATAGATAGAACACTAATGAGATATAGAACATAAGATAAAAGACTAATTGTCGACAAGCAGTAATGAATAGGTATTTAACAAAATACACTTTAATTAAAATTAATTTTTCTTTAAATTATTTCTCTAAATTATTTTCATAGAAAATACATGCCAAGGCGTAAAGTAGCAACAACGCTACACATTAAAACTGATGATGGTGGAAAACACCGAAACGTTTTTTTAAATTGATAAA